GCTGTATTTGTGAAAACGTGCCCTTCGCTTGCGAACCGTGCAGCCGGCCCTTTGGAACGCCGCCTTCTCAGGATCGAAGAAGAAACGGACCCTTTGTGTCTCTTCCTTTTTTCTTTTTTTCTTATGGTGCCCTGTTAGAGCAATTTGCTTGTCTGAAGTTAGTATTTCTGGTGAGTACAAGCGTCCAGGATCAAGGGCAGAGAGCGGTGTGCCTCTTGCCATCGGGGATTACCAGAATTTAATCTTTCTGTGCAAAGGCAGCTAATCCGCCAGCCCCAGCCGGTGCTCGCGATGCCTGGGCTGTCGCTGCGGTGGTAGTTTCACCGTCACTGGGACCCCGCTTTCCTTCGGTGCTGGGCGCTGGAGCTCGGGGGCTTGCATGGAGCCGCACTGAGCGTGGGAGCTCAACCCTGGGCTCCAGCTTTTAAACAGATGAACGGCCTGGGGGAGGCAGGAGGCCTGCCCGAAATACTGGCCTACGATCAGCACCTTGCCATGTTTCTCCTGCAGTACGCAGGTACAGTACGTGTCCGTGTGCTCCTCTTGGGAGCGTGTTTCTCCCATCGTGTCTTGTTAGTGTCGTTAGTGCGTGGGGTTGGATGGGGTTGGCAGAGCTATCGTGCCTCTGCCGGCCTCCTCGGTGTGCCTAGGCAGCTTCTGGATCGAACAAGGGATTATAAAGCTCTGGCCGTGACGCTTAAGCCAGGACTGCAGCAGAAAGGAGGGCACAACCCCAACAGTAGTTTTTGAACCTGGGATCTAGACTCGGAAAGCAAATGGTTGGTATCAAAATGTAACTTCAAAGCCTCTGTATCTTCTCTCCTTTCCCTTCCTTGCTGTTTTCTCTGTGTTTTCTAATGGACTGCTGCAGATGCTGTGTACTTGGGTTTCATCTAAAGTGTGTTTCTTTGAGCTGAAAACAAGCAGCTTGTAGTCAGAATAGCAGCCTGGAATCCAGTTTATTTCTAAATGGCGTTTCTAAGCGTGCAGAAAAAGGGCTCCCTGTTCAGCTGGGCAATCCTTGTTTCATACATTTGCCAACGTTGGCAAAAGGTAAGTCCGTATTTATAGCAAAGCCTGTGTCAGCCATTTCTGAAGTTCCTCTTGATGCTGGGTAAGAGAGAAGTTCGATGAGTGGGCACAATCTGCGTGGGCTTTTCGAGTGGACCATTCAAATGCTTCTAGGCACATGAAAGTGTCAGAGTACCCGTTGCTAGTTTGTTTTTTACTTGAGTTCCTGGGGGGAGATTTGTGTACCTGCTTTTTACGAACTCGTTGGGCATCAAGAAAAGCCGTGGGAGCGTCTGGCCGGCAGCAGCGCGAGGCCGCTGGCAGAGCATGCGCTTCCCTGGCTGACCCCGGCTTGGCTGCTCTGTGTGCCCCCTAGCGCGGGCAGAGCTCCCGTCGTCGTTTGGTTGAGCATTAGGAAACCCAGCAGGGAAGGTTTTGCAAAAATCTTGGAAGTGGAAGCCCTGTTGAGGTGCTGTTTTCCTTCTTCCCCCCACATTTTTGGTCGAAGTGTTGCCAGCGTGTTCAGCTCTCCATAGCAGCTGTGATCTGTAAAGCCGTGCTTTCCAGGTCATGTTATTGACTACTTCTGATTTTTTTAAAAATTTATTTTCCACTGGTGATTAAGGCAAATGGCCAAGCTCTGTTAGCAGGAACTAGTGGTTGGAAAATGAAGCCCTGTCCAGGGTCTGGCACGGGACCCGGCGAGGGAAGATACTTCCCTTGATTTATGCCTGGAACATTGAGATCTTTCCTATCTCTATCCTGGCCCTTTCTAAACGTGTGCTGTGAAAACTACAGCCGTATATAGCATCTGCACAGCCCGAATCGATGCCTGCCCAAGGGGACAGGCAGGGCTGTGCATCGTTAATGTGATTTAGGACAGCGGGAGACTGCTGCACGTCTTCCCGTGGGACGCAGCTCGGCATCTATTCCAGAGGTGCAGCCCGCCTCCAGCGACCTGCTGCCGCCGTGCGAGAGGACTTGCTGACAGTCGCTCCCTGCTCGTCTTTAAGCATTTCACTGTTTTCCCCCATTCAATTTTTTTTCTAGTGATGAATCCTCTAGTCCAGGTTGATTGCAATTTTTAAATTTTTTTCTTTTAAAAATTTTTATTCACTGCATTACAGCAGCTCCTGATACCTTGCTCCTAAAAATTTTCTCTTCTGAAAACCCCTGGAGATACATGCTGGGTGTGCTTGGAGGCGAGGGGCATGCTAACACCACCAGCTCTCTAGAAATGCTGCCACTGGTCTGACACGCACTGACACCCCTCATTTTTCCTCTCTTCCCCCTTTGCTTCTGCACAGCACTTCACTGCAGACAGCAATCTGCTGATTTCTGCCTTTCCCCGCTGGCTCGCAGTAAACCCCGAGGCGCGCTCCTGTGCTGGTGGTCCCTTCCTTCCTCAGCAGACCAGCTCAAAAGAGCCAAGGATGCTTTGTTCGGGTCGGAGCGGGGGAAGCGTTCTTGTGCTCCTGCCTGGCTGATTCTGTCGGCTTTTATCTTGCTCTGTGCCCAGGAGGGAAGTTCTTCTGCAGCTTCAGCTTTCTTCTCTGCATGTTCCTTGCACCCGGTGGGATGTGGTTGGATCTCAGGCTGAACAGCAGTTCGCAGAAATGGTGGGAGGGAGGCAATCGGTTCTGAAGGTGGCTGCTGTCCATGGCGTTTACCACTGGGGTGGGAAGTCTGACACGATGAGGAGTTTCTTGCCCTAAAGTGCATTGGGAATCTTCTCTGTGGCTTGGTTGAATTCTTGGAGTAAGTTCCATACTGCAAGAGCGCAGCAAGCAAGGTGCACGCTTTTTGTACCGCTTGTGTTGCTGCTTTTCAATGCCACCCTTCCCTTCCACGGGTCATTTACTCTTTTTCTGTCTAGGGGAAGTGAGAGCAGAGCTTGCCCAAGACATTTTGCTTCTCTGCATTGAGTGTACCAAAACGTGCCCGGGGATGGTAGCTCGTCCCCTCTTGAGGGGGGCCCTGGAGACCTGCAGACAAGGACAAGGCTGGGGGCTCCGAGTCGCGTGGGTGCCCCCACCCAGAGCTTTCCAGCTGGTGGCTGACGAGTGCCATGTTCCAGGCTGCTGTGCCCAGGGACTTGTTCTGCTCCCCATAGCCACCCGCGCAGAGGTCTAGGCGCGTGTTATGAAGTAAAGGACAGTTTCTGTAGATGAAGGCAACTCGGCGACCATAGGCAGTAGCCTCTTGGATTTCTCTGCTCGCAGAGCCTGGAGCAAAACAGGGCAAAGTGCCTGTGGAAGTAGATCCTGGGAGTCCTTGCTGGAGGAGCTACCAGGATCTCTCGTGTGAGTGGGACTAAGAATAACCGCATCGTCTCTAGCGCTGTTTCTAGACAACACTACCCAGAAAATACATTCGGTTTTGTTTATGGCTTGCGAAGGAGCTACTCGGTTTCCAGCCTGTGCCTGCAAAGAAAAATATGTTGTACTGCAGAATCTCATCACCTTCCATTTTCTGTAATTTTGAGTATTTCTGACCTGTGGAATTCTAGTCTGAGGCTGTGTCAGGACAATAGTGGGGTTCTCTTCCAGAGCACTCGTACCATGCTCTGCGTGCCATAATGAAGTTGTAAATGCAGAGGCTAGGCTTGAAAACCAAGAAAGTCCTATTGAAGAGGTTTTGAAAAACCTTTTGAAGGGGTTTAGGCACTATGGAGGAGCGTATCCAATGAGAAGGGCAGCTCTAAAGCAGTTCTGTTGAGAAATGATTGGCTTGGGAGAAAAAAAGCTGTATATTGGAATGAAGTTTCAGAGCAGGGGTGCAAACTTTCCTCCTTTCCTCATGCAGTTTGGCAGTGTTTTCAAGACATGAAACTTGATTTGGAGCAATTGCATTTTAGCTCTTCAAATCTTGCATCCTAATGCAGGGATTCACAGGAAGGAATCCTTGCTGCCTCGGAGCACATCGCTGGCCCGTGAGGTACCAATGGGGAAAAAGGTGATCGGGAAATCAGTTGCTTATTCTGGAAATCTGAGAGCAATACAATAACTTTTGGTTTTGTTCAAGCTCTCGTCCCTTTGTTGTACTGGTGTGGTTGTCCTAGGATTGCTCTGTAAGACACAACTGTTGTTACATGGCTTTAAAACAAAACCATATCCTCCAGTGGGAAAAAAACGAGGGCTTTAACTCCAGCCTCTTCGCTGATCTTGGTGTGGTCTCTCATATAGGATGACCTAAGCCATGGCTTGATGAAGCACTGAGCCTGGATCTGGATTCCTGGTACTGGTTCCTTAATCACGCCCTTTGTGGTCACCTTTGAACATTAATCTGACACCACAAATTTGTACCAGCCCCAAAAATGTTGCTGCATTCACGTCTGGGGATCATGCGCTGCATCTGTTAGAGAGCAGATCTGATTACATTTAATGGAGAGCCCATAAATAATAAATATTTTGGAAGTGGGTTATTCATGAAGTGGCTGGAGCAAGTCCACAGCCCGTTCTCCTGGAGCGTCCCTGGTTGTCTTTATGATGCTTTGGCTAGGTTCTGCCCGCATCTCTCACGGGTGGTGCGTGCGTGCTGGTGGTTAGAAATGTGTTTGTTGAAGTAATGCTGAGCTGAACGCATCCTCATCCTTTAGGCTGTCATTGATCTCGCGCTGGACTTCACCTAACTTCCCCCAAAAAACAATCCGCTGAACTTTAACTTACATTACTGTCGCCCTTGGGCAGTTCCTATGATGAGAATCCCCCACCTTGGGGAGGAATGACCCCGTGCACCAGTACATGCTGGGGACAAACTGATGGAAAGCAGTGTTGTGGAAACAGTCTTGAGTGTTCTGGTTGACGTCAAGTTGAACGCGAGCCAACAACGTACCCTTGCGGCAAAGGCGGTCATCCTGGGCTGCGTTAGGTTGAGCACTGCCAGCAGGTCCAGGGAGGGGATCCATCCCCTTGGCACCTGGAGTGCTGTGTTCAGTTCTGGGCTCCCTGGTATGAAAGAGTCATGGATGTTCTGGAGTGAGCCCGATGAAGGGTAATTGATGTGATGAAGGGATTGGAGTATCTGTTAGCGAGGAGAGTCTGAGCGAGCTTGGATTGTTTAACCAGGAGAAGAGGAGGCTTGGGGGGGGGAGGGCAGAGGGAGTCCTATCAATGTGTTCAAATACACGTTGATAGGAAAGAGTAAAGAAGATGAAGTCAGGGTCTTTTCAGTGGTGCCCAGTGAAAGGTCGAAGGGTACACATCAAAATATGGAGAATTCAACTAAACGTGAAAAAACTTTGCTTGCTGCAAGGATGATCAAGCACTGGCACGGGTTACCCAGAGTGGTGGTGGAGTCTCTGTCCTTGGAGATGTTCAGGACCCAACTGGACAGTGCCCTGAGCAACCTGCAGGAGCTGACACTGCTTTGAGCAGGGCGGGCAGGGTAGATGGTCACCAGAGATCTCTCCCAATGAGAAATAATCTGTGATTTGCTTCTAGAGAAGAGAATGTTGGGTTTCCCAGTGAGTCCCCACTCACCTGTCCTGATCTGAATTCTTGAGCA